ATTCATTTATTAGTATCTATACTAGTTTCAAAAATAATTTTGAACTTTTAAAGGCAATTATAACATGATGTTGACCCAGGTCAAACCCGGGTCAATTAAATCATGACCCGACCCGACTCGTTTGGGTCAACCCGACCCGTTTCGGAGCTCTAGGCTGTTTCAATCAATTGCACAATCCTGCAATATTTTATAATAAGTTAATCCAGGAATTAATGGAAGTATTTGATAATTGTGTGAAGTTAAAAAGTTTTAGATTTAATTATACTTATTTGTGTGGAATAGATGGTGGTAAAATATTAACAATATTAAATCAAACACTGCCAAAAAAATTAAGATAAATAATTTCTACTTATAGGGTTTATAATATTAATGACTATTCATTGGCTATTCTAATGAAGGATTGGAGAGGACCCAAACCTTTAACAATGAAATTTCATGATCATGGTAAAGTGTTAAAAAAATATCAAGATTTAGGTTTTTTAAATTGATTAATGATATTTAAAATTATTCAAGAGTTTTTTTTTGTATCTTATTTATTTATTATTATATTATATTTATATTCATTTAGTTATACAATATATTGATTATAGTTATATTATATTGTGTAATGACATCTGATACTATTATTGACAGCAAACATTTAACATCAGCATTAATTTGATAATTAATGGCATGACTATTTTGGCACATTGTGCCTCATCCTTGAGTTCAATTGGGGTGTAAAAGCAAAATTGATGTATGTTTTTTGGTCTACAAGTAGAGGTCATCAAGTTTGCTTTCCTTAAAAAGAAATGTTCATGGCAACCATAATAAAGTTGCTTGCTGAAACCTCTTAGTGATGATCAAAACTCTGTCAAAACTCTAATGAACAATTAGTATATACCTTGTCAAAACTCTGATGATGGGCAAAACCCCCAAATGCGAAACTCTAATTAACAATTAATAAATAATCCCTTTTGATTTCCAGATCATGGAAATAAACTTGGGGCATGCAGCAACAAAACCAGACAAAGTGAATATTGGTATTACCAAAAATTTCAGGGTCAATAATGTTTGTCTAACATCATAATTGTATTACAATGTAATGTGATCAATGATATTAGTCTAGACAAAAATAGTTAATATGAAGCTAATTTACATTAGGTCTACTATGGAACCCAAGAATTATAGCACCATTAGAAGTATTTTGAAGAAGGGACAAGGTGAAAAAATTGCTCCTTACATTTTCAAAATAAATTACACTCAGACACTTGAAGTTTATCTAAGAAAAGAAAAGATTATCTATGAAATTTATCAAGAAGAAAGGAAAATAATCAATGCTAACCTGAATTAATTAACATCATTATTTGTCTTGGTGTGTGGTGGGTGGCAGACAAAACCCCTATAATAATGTGATTATAAGGTCACAAGTATTTATCTAATAAAATTCAAATATAATAATAATATAATGTTTAGCCTATTGTCACTAGTCCCAGGACTCTTCCTAAGGAGTATCAATCAAATAGAACATTTACAATGGAATAGTATGTACAACTAGATTAGGGCATCCCTAGGGAATTTATTTATCAAATGGTTTATTCAATTAGAGGATGTGGTTGAATTTCACAATGGCCTTCAATATGTAATAATGTTACTCAAAGATCAAATATTTGTTTTATTTCTTGTTATTAATTAAAAATGACCTAAGAGAATTAATGTCAAAATGATGATTCCACAAAAACTTTAGCCAATTGAATTTTAAGAAATTTTCAGTGGTACAGAATTAATTTGGAAACAATATACTAACTGTGATTTTAAAAGTTACACTATGGTAAAACATTCCCTTTTCAAGATCTTCTTACTAAATGTCTGGCTATTTCAAAGTGCAAGATCCAAGTTCTTTTTCATTCTTACAATATCTAGCATTCAAATATAGCAAAGAAGGAATGCTAAAAGCAAACAAAAAAGAAGAATGTGATGGTTTTGTTGTCAGGTTAAAATTGTTCTTGACAGAAAGCAACAATGATTCTTTAAAATATATTGGGAGGGAGAGTTAAGAGATGGAAATGTATATTTGTTGTTATGTTTGAATTATAATCTTTTAATACAATATCTTTTCTATGATTATAATAATTTAATTTGTAATCTACTTTAATCAACAACTTTTAATCAACAATCAAAGTTTATATTATTCTTTTCTAACTCAACTAAGATTTCTTATCAAAATAATATTATCTTTGTTACAACTAATGCATACAATTTTCTATTATTTTTAATGTTTCAGCAATTTGTTTAATGTTTTAGTAATATAAATCATTAGATTACCACTACAGTCTGCCCTTGTTTCAACGAAGTGGCTGGACATATAAGAAAATTTTATTCAACATTTGTTGAAACAAGGTTACTAATCATGTTTCAACGAATTTTTATATGTTTTCATAATGTGTAACAATGTTTTTAAAAATTCGTTGTATCAAAAATTTAATTATACTTTGTTGAAACAAGGGTTTACTGTATTTGTAACCAATTTATTCACCCATTTATTTTAAATCACATTGTACAAATCATTTTTTACCTAGACCTAATAAACAACAATGAAAAATACAAATGAATGGTTTAATTGCAACTTTTTATAAAAAAAATTTTATTATTTATGCTTACAACAATAGACATTTCTTGGAGCTGGATCAATATCATAATTTATTCATCTTCTAGTCTGAAAATTATACCTTAAAGTAGTTGCTGTGGTGATTTTATGATATATTATCTAATACTGAAGATGCATCAGTTTCATCTTCTAATAACTTGTTTTGAGCATCATAAATAAAATCATCACCATCATCAGATGTTACAGTTATTGTTGGAAGAAGAAGAGGATGAGGGAAGTTTGTTGTTGTGATGGTTATCATTGGTGTCTATTATTGTTTCTGTATCTATTGTTGATGACATATTTGTTTCATTTTCATTAATGGGACCATTGTCATCAGATGTTATAGAAAAGATTTCAGTTGTTTCTGTGTTTATTGTCAGCCTATTTGATAACCAAATTTTATAATCAATATAATTGTTAGTATTATTTTTCTATTTTTATAAATACACTTCATTAATTTTCTTATTAAGTCATCAGATTTACCAGAAATCCTTTCTATAGAATCATCTAGATTATTGTGTTGTTTTGGATATCAACAAGTTGCTGTTAGAAATTAATTAATATTAGCCTTATACAAAGTAATTGATTTTCATGTTTGAAATGAACATAACTTACAGCACTAATTAATATAAAGAAAATTTAGTATCAAAAAAATATAGTCAACAGAATAATATTTCATATAACACCATCATTTTAACAACAATTAATAAATGATGCTTACCTAGATGCGAAATCCTCTATTTTGACATTAGTTTTAAATAAAACTAGAGTAATGGCAAGTGGCAATAACTGCCATTTTTATGATAACCCAGCAATTAACTTTATGTAAAAGCGTTATTTTATTCATTGTATTATTATTATATTACCAAGATGGTTATGAGTTAACTTGGTCTAAAATCAAGCATATTTATACTTTTTTGGTTTCACAATAATGTGACTCTTACAAATAATATATTTTATGATTATCAATCTTTATTACTCGCCAAAATTGAATTTATATCAAGTGAGTAATACAATAATATATAAATAGAAATATTAAAATGATCTACAACGTAAAATTACACAATCTGTAGTGCAACTGTTACACGACGATATAAAAATAGGGATCACCATATGACTTGTTACAGTAAATTGGTCTCAATTGATTGGCAAAGTTGGAACCATACATGTTAGCCAAAATTGTTTTTGCATTTGCCAAATATTTTGGCCACATACTAGCTTTTTTATATTCTCCATATTAATTATCATAAAAAAAGTACCCAGAATTTTGGCTATTGAATCAAGGAATTCAAATAATTTGGATAGAATTCTGGGCCACTGTTAAAGTTAATTTCAACTATTATGAAAAGCTATTTTGGCATTTTGAATTTGGCAATGATCATTTACTAATAGAATTAATTTTAGCTAACATGTGTGGTGGAAACTCCTTATTGGTCCTCATTTTGCTATCTCACAATATAATAGGTAATTATATTGGGCTGTGTGTCTGTAACAATGTAGTGTTAAAATCTCTTATTATCTTGGGACCAAGGATCAAAATTAGCATAATTAGAGTCACTAGAAGAGCTAGTGGGTTATGAATATAATATAATAATATAATTAACAAACATGGATTGCATGCCCACAATGTCATGTTGAGCCCTGGGAATTTTTTGTAACACAAGATGTTCCCTTTGTCTGGTTTTGTTGCAACATAACATTTCCAAAATTATTTTTTACAAAAAAAATATATTTACAAAATGGAATCTATATACACTCACTGGACAAAAGTATAGGGACACCTGCAGATCATCACAAATAATTGAATAAAGTGACATGACAAAAA